AAAATAATTTATAAATTAATAAATTGTGGGTTTGGGTTCTTTTTTCCCCCCTGTAGGAACAAACCTCCATGTATAGATTTGAAAGGCACAAAATTCTTCAAAAGTTTTTCTGTAGAACTTTTGTACAACACTCACTTATTGAAAAATTAAGAACAAAATGTTACAGCTCCCTTTCACAGGTCTAATATTATTTTCATTGACAAAACGGAGTTAAAAAAACCTGTTTTGTCTTACATTTCGTAATACGGGTATGTGCACATGAATGTAGGAAAGCAGAGAGACTTGATATAACCACAGAGACAACATGTTTTTCAACAGTAAGATTAATCTAAGGAAAACACAGCTATTACTCACATTTATCTTCAGAAACAAGACTTGGTATTTCTCATTGTTTCATTCTCACATCCAGCTTCCAAAATCCTTCTCAAATCCTTTCTCTAACCATACAGCTGTTTATTTTCTCACCCTAGAAGCACACTTTCAACTGTTTATTATCCTACCTCATCTTACTGTGGACAGCACCCACTGCTTTTAACCTGTAGTCGTTTTAGAGCTTGGTAAGATTCTTTATGAAACTTGCCATGCTACCAATTTTTGTGTCAGAAGATTTGATTACTGATGCTTCTACATTCAGGAGGTCAGCAAAATAAAGCATTAAACTTCCCAGTAGGCCTTTACACACTAATGCAATATATGTAGAGGTATAAAAGATGCTCCTGTGGAGGAAAAAGCAATTCAAAACACATCAGCACAGCTGAAGCTTTTTAAGATGACACAACAGATCTGACTCCTGTTGCAGGCTCTTTAACAGATGGGTAGACATAGTTCCACAGAGCACCATCTGACAGCCATTGACAAATTTAAGGTCAGTTCGTTTTTATCCCCAGAAAATTAGTGTCAAATATCACAATTTAGCATGAGATTTTCATGAAGACCATTACGGTAAAACACTACATTTAACATGACCCTGGTCCCTTGAGCTGTTACTGGAATTGCTTTATTCCTGAATATGCCACTTACTCTGTTGCCTGAAGAATTTGTAAAGAAATTTCAAACACCAATTCAGTCACACTGGAAGAAGGTTTTTCTTCACATTTCACAGATGGGAATGGGAAGCATACAGGGGCCAGAAAGTCTCTTCAAGATGACATGGCAAAGAATAGCAGGGACAAAGACAGGGCTCGTGCCGTCTCATTCCGGCCTTGAGCTCCAACAGCTCTACAACGCATCAGCAAGAGAGGAGACTTAGCTACGGCTGACTTGAATTCCTATAATGCCTAACCATCATTTTCATATTAAGCAACAGTCTCATCAGCAGAAAGCTCCCATTGTAATCTCTTAAGAGATCAATTACAATTAATCTCTTAAGAGATCTCTGTAAGTAGATTTCTGTGCGTCTTCTAAAATTATGCACAAACCATAAATGAAAGAGGTAGAAAAACAAGGGCTGAGTCAAGAAGATGCAGTATCTATACGAACTCTTATCTTTTCTTATACAAATACAGGAGAACTGTATGGATATGTATCAACTGACCTTTCCTCCATTGGTACTGCTCAGTAGGAGAACAGTGCACCATGAAGAAGAGTTTGAATGCTGCAACTGTCAAATCTGAGGTCTTTGAAAGGTCACTTGTCCAGAACCAAGCTATTACTCGTTTCTTGCTATTATCCATTTCTTCAACACAAGTGACAAAATCTAAAATCTGGTTTCACGTTAGGTGGAACTTCACAGTTTGTACTCTTTCTACCATTCCATTTAGCAATCTTTTTTTTAAATAACTTCTACATTCCTGTGAAATCTCTCCAGTTTTTGTTACGAAATTTAAGGCATTTTACTGAAAAGGACCATATTATTTCACTGAAGTTGTGCATACAGATTTCTGTCGGTAAAAAAATCTAGTCTAAAACAAGGCATATTTTATCAGAAGCACAATATTAAGGGGCTTGTTAGACTACTCTGTTCAGTAGTCAGTGACTACTCTGTTTTTTTGATTGCCAAGTCTGTTGCTTTTCCTTAACTTAGACAGTGCAGAAATTATAATCCAAAATGCACATCTGATAAGGGACAACTAATTTATGAAGTAAATCATTTTCAGGTCCAGTATAGCATAGAATTACTATAAACATGGGACTTTAAATTGTGCAATGTTATTTTGTCTTTGGAAAACCTGACAATTTCCACAAGGAGGGCACCAAGGGATTGGCTGGTTTTTAGACATCAGCAGATGGACAAATTAAAACATTACTCAAGGGAATAGTATAACTTCCAGAGAGCAGGTAGAGAAGGACCATTTATTACAGTAAACACAAAATCCCAGTGCTGGAAACTCTCCGTAATTATAAACATGTGTTCTTCAAGTGACCTCCCTCCTCATGGCCACCAGTCAACTCCTGCACAATGAGCAGGGAAATGTTGCTGGAGATGTGCAAGTACAGCTCTGCTGAAGCTAACTAATGAGGGCAAGGGCATGTCCAGGGAGCCAGGCTGCTGTTCTTGAGCTCTGTGTGCAATATCCTGGGAAATGGGTTATTTATCCTCTATTCACCAACGCCTGCCCAGAGCTGGCAAGGGTCAGTTGGCTTCTTTATGAAAACTCCTCTCCGCAAATTCTTAGGACAAAGGTACTTCTAGTGGAATTAATATGAGATGGTTATCATATCCAAGAGGAAGAGAAGAGGAAAGCGCATGGGCAGCTGCAGTATGTAGCATGCTCTCCACTAGAAGGAGCAGAACGCCTGTGGCAATTTTCCATCCCCTTTTAGTGTCTATCTTACTCGTACAGACTGAAGGTCAGTCTGTGATAAATGGAAAGATAAATTTGATCGTAACTGAATTTCCAGAGTATTGGAATTAAAAATTTCAGGATTCAGTACTGAGACGTTAACCCTCTGCAGAGAGCACAAAGAAACACAGATATACTACTGCAATAAGTGATAGCATAGTTCAGTAACTAGGTTTTCTACCAGGTGAAAGTGAGTGACAGCAGTTTGTACACAGAGCATTTGTGGTGTTTAGCAGAGCCAGGATTCCCAGGGGTTTCAACCACACCCTTTGAAGACCTCTGACTCAGGTAGTTTTGGAAGGTTAAAGCTACAAATCAGCAGGAGAGAAACAACAGTAACTATTAGAAGGATGTCTAAGACATTTTAAAAGGATGTGTTTTGTTTTGTTTTCATTCTTAGTAATAACTGTTAAAACAATTTTATGTTTTTAAGCCAAATCATCTGCTACATAGCAACTTTCTCATCACTACCAGAAGGCCACCAAAAGAGCACCTACCATGAACATTGTGGGTTTTGCTTTCAAAACATTCACTGGTCAAGTGTTACATAGGACAGTAATTACATGGTAGTTTATTTTCGGAGTTGCTAGATTCTTAAGTCTACAGATTAATTCTACAAGCATTACGGTAGCCTTCTCATGCTTAAAATATTTCTATATAATTAAAAGGATGTTAAAGCCTCAGTTGATGCCTACTTAAAAATCACCCTCATCATCTTCAATTTGCTTGTTGAAGAAACAGCAAGTGACATGTCTAACAACTGAGAACAGAAAGCTGAACCCAAGACTTTCAGAACTCATTCTAGCTCAAGACTCTTTGCATAGCCTTTTTGTTTAGGATTTTTAAAACAAAGAGTAGCCAAACTTCAAAACCAAATATGTTCTTTCTCTCTGATTCACCACTGAAAGTCTGTCATTACATAGGGAGAATGCAAATAAAGATCTATTTTGCAACTGTGGAAGACTATGTATAAAAATCTAAGCTAAGTGCACAGATACACAGAAGATTATTTTTCTAGCTGCAATTTAACCTTTATTTCCTTTCTTTGTGTTCTGTTCATAGTAAGCCATCACACCAAAAGCATATGCATTACCTTTTAAATCAAAAGTGTGTGCATACTGTAGAAAATTTATTTCCCCCCCATTACAGATTCTATATGCTAAGATGAGAGTGCTGAAAATACCATGAGTCAAACATATGGAACAGTGTTCCTATCAGTTGAGCAGAGGAGGGAAAAAAATAATTAAACACAAAAATTATGCACACAGTTCGCTTCACTCTGAGAGCTTTGCACAATCAGAGATTTGGTTTTTTTGTTGCTTCTTTACACTCATTGCAAGGTACTAAATTTGCTTGGGCAGAGGCTCCTTTTCCTCAAGTTTCAGCCCAAAGCAAAAATTTTACTGAAGGAAATGCATCGGATGTAGTGAAAACGCTAACTCTACCATTTGGTTTAATGCCAGGAAGCATATCACTGCGAAATTTGTCCAAATGGAGAACAGTGTGAGGAAGCATGTGAAAAAAGAAATGGTAATAGTTGTTGTGAAAATGAATTTTTAAAGAGAACAGTATTCAGCTTTGATAGTGTTTTCTGGGAAGGGATAGAGGCCGTGTTGAACTCCTTTGCACAGCTACGCGACCCCTGCCAATCAATGTCAACACTTTATTAATATTTTACTGAAAAAGTGTGAGATGATACAAACTTCAGCTGTCTTTGTAGGTGTTGCTAAGCAACTTTGCTACTTGTCTGAGAACTAGTTTTCACAGAAACCTTTCCTTTAAACCAAGGCCTGCGTCCACTTGAAGCACTTTCCCCTTTGTCAATGAAGAGCCCAGCAAGTTACATTCCACTCCTCCCTTTATACTTTCCTCTCCATTTCCCAGTTAAAAAGAAAACAGTTTAGTAGTGTCTGAAATTCTCCACTTTACTTACCATAATCACTGTCATAAAACACTATGAATTTCTGCCACCGCAGCTCAGTGACCAGTTTCAGCATAACATCGTTGAGGCGGACAGGCGGTCGGGCAGCCAGCGTGTACTCCTCCTCCTCCAGGCTGGGATTTAGGTGGCAGGCTGTGCGCGGGGAGCCTCCCGTGTTGCGCTGTACGAAAAGGTGCGGGATGTGCATGGCATCCGTCAGGGACTGCAGGGCATTGGCCGAGGCACAACCAGTGGAGGTCACTAAGGCTAAGATCCCCAGGGTCATCAAGTCACAAGCTGGAGAAGACAAGAAATAAAGCAGGGTCAGAACAAGCTCAACAATTCCTTTGACCAACCTAGATGCTAAGAAGGGAACAAGACAGGCTTTGCCCTTGCCATTGACACAGAGCTGAAACGATTCCTATTACAGTATCAGCTGAAGCCTTTCAGAGATAGGTCCTGTACCTTTACAGCAGGACACGGTATCTGCAATCTGTACTGATAAGACGAAGTTGAGGACAGATAACATTACTACTATCATTTCTTCAAACAGAAGCTGATGTGGATGGAGATTACCTCCCTTGCTTCAGGTCATTCCTGGTGGAAGCAGGAACTTAACTCCCATATTTTAAAACTCACTTCCCTGCTTTCAGCTCTTAATCTTTGTTGTGCACATTGGATAAAGACTTCGGACAATAAAGAGCCATTTAAGTTTCAAGGTTTTGTCTTACACAACAGAGTTATGAAAGATTTTTAAATCAATGAAAAAACATTCACTGTATATCTCAAACAAAGAAGGCACTCATTAGAACAAAGGCAACAAATGAATGACTAAACCATTACTAATAACACTGTAGCTGTCTTTTAAAAGATGTGGAAAAGCACATACCATTTAAAAACCACAGCATATACATCTGAGCCCATCTGCCTTTGAGAATGAAGCGTTAGATGAGTTTGAAACACAGACCATGCAGGTTGGGCAGCCTTGGGCAGCCCCTCACACGGCTCACTCTACAGCTAAGGCAACCTGATATTGAGCTGGGATTGGAAAATGTTTCCAGTCAAGGTCCCAGCTATAACTCAGCAGCTGCTAAATCAATGGTGGTGGTGAGACTGTGTAAGACTAAGGCAACCGTTGATGCCTGTTTTGACTAACGCTCTTGAATAAGCAGCAGCAAAGTTGGTCCCCAGGAGCTCAGCACAGTAAATGCTCACAGGTGAGAGCAGCGCCAGCCCCGAGGGTCCCCCAGGAGTACTTGGTACTTCCTACCACTCTCCTGCTTTGAGAAGGCTGGGGGTTTCAGTAGCTGTTTCAGTCCCTGAGCAACCACCTACACATGCACAGCCTGCCCGAAGGAAACCAGCTGCTCTGCTTCCCCGGGGCAGAGGCCCACCATATTAAAGCCAGATAGGAGGTGACTGGAGATGCTCCACAGTCCGTCCTCCTGCAGTCTACGTGAGCTTACTAACAGCAGATATATGAAAGAGCCCCTGGGGCGTAATTCAGAGCCCCTCCAGGACACGCAGAGTAGCAGAGTGGGAAATTCAGATTCCAGCTGGAGAGGGGAGGCTGCCTGCACTAGTGCTTCCCCCGTACGAGGTGACTGCCTCTGCATGCGAGAGAGTGGGCTGCTCACAGCCCACACACGGCACACGCTGCGGGACCGCTGGGGATGCGTCAGGTCTGGTAATGGAGGAGAGACGCGCCGCCACCCTGTTACTGACCCACCATCTCGGATCTCTGGAGGAAAGGGACCGAGCGGAAAAGTAGAAAAATGAACACGATGTATTACAAGCATTTATTTTCCCTCCTCTAAACACTTTTCAGTATATTTCCACTTTCAGAGACCAGAAAGTCAAAGAGACTGGACAGGTTATGAATAATTATCAGTCATTAACAGTTAATTATCAATTAATATTAATTACATAAAGCCACAGTAATTAAATACATAAACTCGTTTCTAATGCAATCAATGAACTGTTTCTCCAAATATCTTATTAGACTAGACATAAAATGAATATATTTCACTTTGATATGGGATAAGAAGAAGAAAACATTTGATCGTCTCTACGCATAGAACATTCAATATATATCCTAATGCAACAGGGAAAGATTAAGTGCTTTTAAAATTATTTCCTTGATAGTCTTTACAATAAACATATGTCAGCTGCATTATCTAAATTTACTCTGTGTTGATTATACTTATACAAAATTGTTCTTTGTTTTTTCAGAGAGCTGACCTGATTTAACAGCAGGGAGGCGTTACATTTGCCAAATGGGAGACCCAGGTTCGGGAACAGATTTGATTTCCCAGGCTTCTTGCCAGAGAAAACGGAACATGTCATACAGGTAATTTATTTAGGCACAGTAGGGGAGGGAACAGAGAAGCGGGAACAGAGGGAGAGAACAGCAGAGCTGAGCTATAAACCCCTGCAGACATCACCAACCAGCAAGCTTTGCTGTCACTGAGGGTGAGAGAAGCAAGCTACACAGGTCCGTAGAAGGAATAATTTACTTGCAAAGCAGACAAGAGGAGAGAAAAAACGAAGCCTTTGTGACGGGAGGCTGCATTCAGAGAGTCACTTATTTGTCGAATATAGAGCTGATCACCAGTTGTATAACAAGAGATAACTTCATTCAGTGGTTGACACTAATCAAAAGCTGCTCACTTATTAACAGCAAAAAGACCACAGATACAACAGACAACAGCAAATGGGCCCCCTTATCTCCCAGAACAGCCCACCAAACACAGCTGAAATATCTCATGAAGGCTGTTTTGGCTGAGGTATTATCCCAATGTTTTGTACTTTGTGTCAATGGGTTAAAATGAAGAATTAGTCAATACGCTTCTACATTCTGATGTTTTGTCAATTGATTATGTTCTGCCTGAAAGTATATGCTGCACAGTGTTATCTCCGCTTGCCTCTCTGTTTCGAGATAGTATAGCAGGCAATAAAAAATTGGAATGACTAAGGAAAAAAGATTTCATATTTTCTGAATTGCTTTCTTTAGTTGAATTACAGAATGTGAAACAGAATGTGCCATATTTCTAATAGAAGACTTTCACTACATAAAAATACAACGGATTCCAAGAAGTTCAACCTCTCCACAGTTAGTATACTGAAGGGTGAGAATGAGCTTTTAACAGATAAAGAAGGAAAGTATTACTTTCTGCATGAGCAGCGCAATGGGGAACAACTACATAACAGACTCCAATTCATCAAAAAACTTATTAACTGTTAAGATACCTTGAAATTCCTTTGCAGGAGAATATTCAAGGATTATACGATCCTAGAAGAAAACTCGGGTGACAATTCTTTCAGGATTTCCTGCCATATGTCTGTACTTCCTTGCACAAAAAACTGACATGAGAAAAGATGTGCAATTTTCTGTTTTACTTTACACTAGCTATAGATTTTCAGCAACAATCAAGCATCCCTGGCTATGTGACTGAGTAAATCACTAATTCTATATGTCAGTTACAGCTTCATAAACACTCAGAAGAATCTGCAATCTTTGCACATGAGTTTCATAACCCTCATCTTGATTTCCATAAAGCTGAAATACAGAGACTTGTAGTGCCATAGTTCACGTTGTAAGGGGAAGGGGAATCAAAACACTTTGAGATCTTTAGTGATCTTTCATTACAATACTATTACACTATATATATATACACACTAATACGATTTCATATTTATTTATCCTGTAGATATATTTACATAGATATGTTTCAAGAAACAATTCTTTTTAGAAGTATTTGTTCCACAGATAAAAAACCCACAATGTTCTAGCAACCCTGCCTCCAGATTTCATTGCTATATGAATAGCAGTAGTTATTAGTTTACTGCACTGAATGCCTTCACTGCCATCAGGCTTCATTTTAAGATATCAGCATCCTACAAATCATACATGCAAGAAATGCACATGTTAACATGATGAAAACATCAACATCACCATACCTAAAGAATAAATCTGGATTCACCTATTAAAGCAGATTAAATTATGTCATGGTAGTTGTTCATCAATGTTGGCGTCCATCAACAGACCATCTCTCGAGGTTATACTTAGATTTAATTGAAGTTTCCCTAGTTATTATCATAGAATGGTTAGGGTTGGAAGGGACCTCAAAGATCATCTAGTTCCAACTCCCCTGCCATGGGTAGGGAAATCCTCCACTACACCAGGTTGCCCAAAGCCTCATCCAACCTGGCCTTGAACACTTCCAGGGATAGGGCATCCACAACCTCTCTGGGCAACCTGTGCCAGTACTTCATCACCCTCAAAGTAAAGAATTTCTTTCTTATACCTAACCTAAATCTGCCCTCTTTCAGTTTAAATCCATTGCCCCTTGTCCTATCACTACACGTCCTTGTAAAAAATCCCTCTCCAGCTTTCCTGTAGGCCCTCTTTAGGTACTGAAAAGCTGCTATAAGATCACCCCGGAGCCTTCTCTTCTCCAGGCTGAACAGCCCCAACTCTCTCAGCCTGTCTTCATAGCAGAGGTGCTCCAGCCCTCAGATCATCTTCGTGGCCCTCCTCTGGACCTGCTCCAGTAGCTCCATGTCCTTCTTGTGTTGGGGACTCCAGAGCTGAACACAGTATTCACACAGGTGGGGTCTCACGAGAGCTGAGTAGAGGGGCAGAATCACTTCCCTCGACCTGCTGGCCATGCTCCTTTTGATACAGCCCAGGATACGATTTGCTTTCTGGGCTGACAGTGCACATTGCTGGCTCATGTTGAGCTTCTCACCCACCAGCACTCCCAAGTCCTTTTCCTCAGGGCTGCTCTCAATCCATTCTCCGCCCAGCCTGTACTTGTGCTTGGGATTGCCCCGACCCACGTGCAGGACCTTGCACTTGGCTTTGTTGAAATTCATGAGGTTCTCACAGGCCCATCTCTCCAGCCTGTCAGGGTCCCTCTGAATGCCATCCCTTCCCTCCAGCATGTCCACAACACCACACAACTTGGTGTCATCTGCAAACTTGCCGAGGGTGCACTCAATCCCAATGTCCATGTCTCCTACGATATTAAATAGCACTGGTCCCAGTACCGACCCCTGAGGAACACCACTCGTCACTGGTCTCCACGTGGACATTGAACCGTTGACCACAACTCTTTGAGAGCAACCATCCAGCCAATTCCTTATCCACTGAGTGGTCCATCCATCAAAACCACGTCTTTCCAGTTTAGAGATAAGGATGTCATGTGGGACAGTATCAAATGCTTTGGATAAGTCCAGGTAGACACTGTCAGTTGCTCCTCCCCTATCCATCAATGCTGTAACCTCGTCATAGAAGGTCACCAAATTAGTCAGGCAATCGATTAATCCAGTTTTCAGTTGTATCAGTGAAGCAACTCTCCTAACCTATTCTTTGAAGTCTGTTTTCAGAAACTCCCCTTTGCAAATCTGCTTGACATTTTACATCTTGAACTCTTACTTCCAATAGAATTTCACAAGACCCTGTCTGCTTTCTTCTCCATCTATTGCCTTGGATTTTTACATTTAGATTCTCCATGTCATCTCTGT